GCTCGGAGTTCATCCCAATGATGATGATCAACGGTATGAATCCATAGTGAGTGATAACTTTAGCCTTCTTCACGGTCCACGTGCTCCACTCCTTAACGAACTTTGCCGCCGCTGCAGTAGACCCCTCCTCCTCGGCCGCCGCCGACGCCTTCTTTACGCTCTTTCCTTTCGCCGCCTTTAGGGAAATCTTTGAAGCCATTTCTGTACTTGATTTGTGATATTTTTGTTCTCCGTTCTGAGTTCTTCTATTTCTCTAGAGTTCATAGCCCTAGAAATATATAGTTCTACAAAAATTGCACTACAAACACCTGATATACATGTTCGTTTCATATTAGTTACTCGACTTTAATTAATTCTTTTCTGGTCATTCAACTAATGTTTTTATTTTAATTTCATAGTTTCATCTATAAATAGAATTTAACTCAACTAATAATTTTGTTTCACAATTTTCTCTATACTGTTATAAGGTGTGGAAGCAGGTAGTGCGATCACTCAAGAATACGTGCTAGCATCGTTGGCACACATGTTAGAACCTATCAATGTTTGTGGAAAATTAAGTTGGTTGATACTCTATTCATCTTGTTAGAGATTTGGTTGACGAAGAAACACTTCATGCCAACACTTTCCTCGTCCTTGATCTTAGATACCAGGTGTACTATTAAGGTAGAATGACCTTAAATTAAGAAAAAAATTCGAAAAAATGGCACTAGAACTCTCGTGTTTGTCTTATACGGTCAACTTAAAATTCAGATTAGCCAATAAAATTAGAGATTCAATATATCTTTTACATCCTTAAAATACTAGATTTTTGAAAAATGGCACAAGCTCCATTGTTGTTTTTTATAATCAACTTGAAATTTGAATTGGCCAATAAAATTCAAGACTTGACATATTTGTTTTACGATAATTTTTTTTAAGTGCTATAAAGTACGAACCTTGCATTTTTATTTACTTTAAAGGAGAGTCTTTAATGGTGATAAATATATTGATTACATCACGAAGTTCGTCAAATTTTATTAACAATTATAAATGTAATGACTAAGGCAAAATTAAAATACAAGTTATGCCATGGATTTTGTTGGTAAGGTCTGGTCATGTATATTTGTCAATTTTAGTAACGGTTACTGATAAAATAGTCAAATTGAACTTAAAAAAAAAAAAGGGTAAGTTTGGTGATCAAATAAAATAAATTAAAGTTTTGTGGCAATAGGAAACAAAGCTATAAGTTAAGGGACCTCTAGGAAAATTTCCAATATGTCAAAATGAAAATTGATATGAGTTTGGACATATAAATCTACTAGTCAACCGTATTTATATCTACTAGTCAACGTTGAACGTGTGTTGCACATTACTATGTGGGCCCTCTTTGTGAGAGATTAAATTTTTCTAC